TTCTCGACCCGACTTTTACCTTTTTTACACACCCAACGACGGTCCTCAAAATGTACAGGGTGCTGCATTTTGGATGGCCGAAACTAAGGGTTTAGCCAAAAACGAGTAAATTATTATAATTTAAAACTTTTTTTAATGGTTTTTGTATTAAGAATTTTTTTTCCACATACACCTACCCGTATTTTAATTTAAAATTATTGTTTTGTTATTCAGTATAGTAGGTTTTATTAGTTAGGATTTTTCTTACCTTTTTAAAAATAAATTCTTCATTGTCTGATTGAAAACTTGTTACAAAATAAAATGATAATTTTCTTTTAAAAACTAATTTTCTTATTTTTTCTGAGATCTGAACTGGTTTTTGCAATTTTTTTTTGAGAAGTGTATAAAGAATACTTTGAAAATTGTTTTTTAAAAAAATGCAAAAACTTAAAAACCCAGTTGTAATCCTTTTCATACAGAATGTATAAAGTATTACGACCTTTTGGCAGTTAAAAACACAAAAAGAAAAATTGGAGTTTTTTTATGACTTCCTGTTTAAAATTCAACAATTATTACAATATTTTTTCTCTTGACTGGACATAATACAAAAGCTTGTTTTCAACTAATACAATATAATAAAAAAGGTGTTTTAACAAGAGATTAAATTTTCAAATCAACTTATAACTTTTTCCACCGAATCCCAAATTGAATTTATGAAAAAGCCTCAATTCCCCGAATCCCAATCGACGCACTAATCCCTCTATATCACAAATTCAATGTCGTGTGTGGTCGTTTGTACAAATTGCATATTCTCATAACCTCGCTACGTGCTATTCTTTGATCTTGCCGCCGCGTAGGAGGTTCGCGACGACAATTTTTTATACTCTTCGAATAATGTAAAACTACAAAAACAAAAAAAAAACTCGTTTCAAAAGCGTCCATTCAATACATCTGGCAAGTGGCAGAGCTTTTATCTAATATCTAAGCTGCTGTCAGCCGAAAGGTCGAGACTGAGGTGTAATTATGGCCGGTATTAGCGGCGCCTGCTTTACCGACCTGCATTATCGTCATTATAAAAGTCATCATCATTATATGGACCGATCATCGTCATCATCGTCTGACACGACGGTGGGAAAAATTGACAAATCAAAGTGATTGGTCACTTTAGCTGCGCAATTACGAATATCGCGTGCTCTAATTAAACCCAAACATTTCCCTTTCATTTACTATGTTAATATCGTCATAATTACGATTTTTCTTATTTGAGTTTAATTGTGTGAAAATAATTATTATAATTATGTTATTAAATGTCGAAATTCGATTCAAGTAAACCAATTGTCGAATAATTTGCCCGTAAGTGGAGGGTCCAAATTGAAATACGTTTTAAATAAGCTTTTAGCTTTAGGGAAAATACCGTCAGATACTGCCAGTCACCCCAACTTGCATATTAATGGAGGAGGTAGCCGGATATTGCCCCCAAAATGTCGCATTTCCTCCCAAAATCCAGAACCGTCTCCACCGTCATCAATCACCCGGATAACAATATCAATAATTCATGCCCGGAGCGAAGGGCCGTACTCGGGCAATTTCCATACGAAATTCGTAGTGTTTAAATGGCGCTTCTTAACTTGCGTAATTTGCAAAACGGCTCATTTTTCACTCTTTAATGACATAATTCGGGAAAAATGCCCATATGGGCGATTTTCCACCCCATGACGTGCGCACGGACACTAAATTAAATTGTAAATAGGACGCTCGAGGGTGAGATTAATTAAAGGTGGGGCGGCTGGACGATAGACGTCGTTCGTATATGCAAATTTTTCTACGACAAGAAAATTACAACAAAAATCGATTCAAATAATTTTATTGTGTTTCAATTGTGACACCTTCAAATGTAATAAATGTCATCCAAAGTTGTTTGTCTCTTTAATCAATTATTCAAATAGTTTAAATAGAAATAATTTGATATTCATTTCGGACAATCGAATAAATAATCTATTTTTAATCAAACAATCTTCGATTAAGCTCGTTTCCAATTCTGTCGAATTGTTTTTGCCTTGATATTATTATTAGGACAAATAAAAGTTTTAGTCGATAAATCTCTGGTTAATTATATGGCTTGGGGGACAAAAAATTGTTATATTTTTCGGGTTTTTAAACATTAAAGCAGCGCAAAAGTTCAAAGAAATGTTCTATAAAAATATGACATAAAAATAAAAAATTAATTGAATAAGGTTATTTTTCAATAGAAATAACAATTCGAGCGGTTTTTCCTAAAAATATAACTTTATTAAACAAACGGGACTAAAAAAATCAAAATAAATGATAAATCTGGAATTTATTATAAAACACTTTATAAACTACGATTACGTATAAATTATAAGAGTTTTCGATATCGTTTTTTGGTAATCGCCCTTTAAAATTAAAAAAACCTATATTTTGATTACAAAAATAATTCAAAAAATCTGTAAATTATCTGTAATCTTTGTATCTGTAATTTCTGTATTATTCTAAGTACTTGGAGAGCCTTTGAAAATTTAAATTGTATTATAAGGTTATTTGTAAATCTTCAATTTTGCTAAAAATTTCAGAATTTTCTGGTTTAAACTGCTCACAAAATTAATTTTGACTTGTTAAAGAAAAAATTATTGAAAAAATCAGCTCAGATCTCGAAGGAGATTATAAGCTAAGATTAGTGATAAATAATTTTAGTGACATTTGTTGTTTTTTATAATTTAAATAAATTTATTTATGAGAAAAATACTTGAAAATATCGACAATGAGGAAAGACTATTTTTACATAATTTTATTAAAAATTTTGGTCTTAACTTCGATTCTAACATCAAACACAAAAATAATTATAAAAAGCTTACTACTTATTGGTTTTTAAAAAAATAACCATTTGCAAGTAAAATCGTCAGTTTTCTAAAGATTCAAGATTTAAGAAAGCCAACTAAGAACAATTGGTATTTTTTGCGATTTAATTAAAATTCTAATTAAATTCTAAGTTTTATACTTATATAACAAATAATAAACAAAACTTATTTTGTGTATTTCTACCCATTAAATTCATAAGAAAATTATTGACTCTTTTCAAAGCAAGAAGTTTTTGCTGTAATACAGGATAAGGATCATTCGAAACACAATTTTAATAGAGCGCAACAAAACTCTTAATAGTTTCAATATTTTTAATTTTAGAATTTCCCTTATTTTTTTATGTTTTTTTTTAAATTTACAAAACTACTATTTAGTTAAAAATATTCCATACAGAGCAGAATAAAACGTTAGAAAGTTAAAAGATTAATTTTATCTAAAAGTGATGTTTTACTTATTCTTCATTATTTAGCTAAAAAATTTCAATTTAAATAAGTTTTTGCTGCGCTTTATTGAAATTGTAATCAGATTTCTTTAATTTTCCGAATTATTAGTGAGAATAATTAGACACACAATTTTAATAAATGAAGGCTCATAATAGTCTCTATTATTTTAGTGCTCTAGCATCAAAAAAAAAAAAAATCGTAGAAAAGAATAAAATGCATTTTTAAAACGTTGAAAAGTTAAATCTAAAAGAAAAATTTTGTTTAAATTGATGTTTTACTTTTATACTTTTTATATTCTTTATTTTTCACTTAAAAAATGTAAGTTCTTGAGCAAGTTTTTGCTACGCTTTATTGAAATTATGATTAGATTTATTTAGTTTTCCAACTCAATGGGAATAATTCAAATCACAATTTTAATAAATGAAGGCTCATAATAATAGTCTCAATTACTTTAGTGCTCTAGCATCTATAGAATTTTTCTTAAAAAAAATACGTAGAGAAGAGTAAAATGCACTTTTATACGTTAAGAAGTTATATCTAAAAGAAAAAATTTGTCTAAAAGTGATGTTTTACTTTTTATTCTTTATTTTTCACCTAAAAAATGTCATTTTTTAAATTGGGCAAGTTTTTGCGGCGCTTTGTTGAAATTGTGATTAGATTTATTTAGTTTTCCAACTCAATGGGAATAATTCGAAACACAATTTTAAATTTGGTTAGATGATTATTTTTGTATTTTATGTACCTACTACTGTAATTTTTTTTAAACAAAAACCTTTTTAATGTTTTTTTTTATATAAATTTAGAAATCAAAAATTACGTTGACAAATTTAACAAAGTTAGAGTCAAAACAAGTAATATGTGTCAAATCTCATATCTTCCGGCTCTATCCCATTCAGTGTTGCCAACATATTTTCAGAATTACAGCCAACTTTGATGCGCAACTCAATAATGTTTTTTTTAAAATTTTGCATTTTGCATCCATCTCTGTTTTTGCTCAGAGACGAAGATTAATGATCTTGCAGATCTCAGTTGAGATGATCTCAAAGTCTGCGAACGCTGGAGGTGTAAAACAATTATCCAGCAACTCAACAAACCTCTCAGCAGAATGTAATGCAAGTCATTTGATGATGTATAAATCATAATAGATTTTGATATGTCTGTTAATTAATAGTAATTTAAGTGTAGATAACTATTGATTTATCCTTTCCAAGAACAAAAGGATTCAATTACAAGCTTTTATTACAGTAATAGGGAAAATATAGCAATCATGTGGTGGCATTTGCGATGATTATTATTTTCTCCCCGAAAGCCGGCGTTAATTAAGGCCAATGACTGCGTAAACCTCGTAAAACTCATGTCATCACCTATAATGCCCTCCTATTATTTTAATAGTATAAACAAGCTCCTGAAAATACCACCAGTACCAAGTACTCCAAGCTAATAAAGTGCTTGTTTACAAAATAATAGACACACATATAGGTGTACTCATTCATCAAGTACGTTGTAATTTGTTTCGGTCATGCGCACTCCCACCAGTCTATAAAAACTTGTAGGGCGTGTCGCGCCGATAAATGGCAACGACGACGATTGGCTCTCCCATTCGACACCACGCCCATTTATGACCAAACAGAAGGGGAACCTGTGATTTCGACTTGGTGGATCCTTCCCCTTCCGAGAATCAGTAAGCAATGTGATCTCAACAATAGCAGTTGAACATTTTTAGTGTCGCGTATTGTTTTTCTATACGGACTGTGTTGTTTAATTCAAAAAAAAACAGTGGCGTACGTCAACATCATGCTTACTGATATGACCCCCACGGCGGGACAACTCTACGGGGCACAGATTCCCGCCATGTCGATGAATGTCAAAGCGGCTGTAAGTTTGTTTAATTATTATTGAGAAAATGAGGGGGCCTCAACAAGGTGGAAACTTGTCGTTTATTCTTTTCGAAAGCGATTAAAATTGTTGGGTAATTGGACTAATTAGGCGGAATAAAGACAAAGAAAATTGACGTTTTTGAGTCATGTGGTATTGCTGATGATGGGTTGACATTTAGTTTGGACGGGAATGGGGCAATTAGAGACGTGCCGGTCAAATGTCAGGGCGGTCGGCGAAAGTCGAGGTAAATTACGAGCACAATTAAATCATAACTGCCGCACACACCTTTATTTTTCACTAAAAATGCCCTAAATCTAGAGTAAAGTCCTCCACCAATTACTTCAGGAAAAATAAGAAATAAATTTGTAACTATTACTTTTTATTGAAAAATTGGACAAAAGTTCAAAAAAGTTGATTTTTCTAATTAGAATTACTCTGAATTATTTTCAATTCAAAATAGGCCTACCTCTAATAAAGGATGTACCTACCTACCGTTTAAGTTTTAATACAAATTTTCCAAAAACTCAATTTCAATTAATTATAGGTAATTTTTAATTAATTGATAATAATTCTTTTGATTAAATTCATACAGTTTCTTTAATTAACTACTGATAATAATTAATCTAATTTATAATAATTATAAATGTTAGGTATATCTATATCTATACTACAATGCTCAATGTTTTCTTTTGATCGACAT